TGTTTTTTTTTTTTTTAACACTTAAGAGAGTAAGAGATCATTAAACTAGTAAGTTGTAAGTGGCTGTGATTGTTTAAACTGCTATGAAACCAAAAATGGATTAGTTTATTAAAGGCACTCACACAACTTAATTAGTTACAAGTGAATGATCATTTATAAAGTATTTATCCCAGACTGGCTTCCTTCTGCCACTCATGTTTTGGAGTTCTCTTATCCCAGCATCAAATGGTATATATCAATATAAAAGGTAAAATCACTTTAAAATAAGCCAATTTTAGGGTTTCGCAGATGGTATAATGGTTACAATGGCTGGATTCCCACACAGTCAACCACAGTTTGAGTCCCGGACCTGGTAGCTTAAAACTCACACAGGGCACGTATGCATGTGTGCCTGTCTGTAACCCCAAGAGGAGAATGGAGGAGAAGGGATTGCAGTGTGGCCATTCCCCGGGGGGTGATTTCTCATTTCTGTCTTTTCAGTGAGAGTACGTGCCCTATAGCAAAAAAATCTCTCTTAAAAAAAAAAAGAAAGAAAGAAATTTTAACAAAGATTACAAGAGCAATCTGCTACAAATAGATAAGTATTCAAGAGTGAGGCCTTGCTGCTCTTTCTCCCACAATGGTTCTTAAAATTAGCAAAATTAACACAGAGATGACTGTAATTTTAGCAGCCAGATTACTGAGGTAGACAGATCAGGCATGTTAGCTCTGACACTTAAAAAGAAAGCGCCTCTCCTTCTTTTGATGACAAAGCTGGAACAGGTAGCGTCTTGTCCAGGTCCATAGCTGGACACAGAAGAATTGAATTAGAACTCAGAACTCCAAACTCCACAGCACAAGCCACTTTCTCCTAACACTGTTTAGAATGTCTCTCACAGTTATTATGTAAGAATAAAAACCCTAGTAGTCGTTCTCATCTAATTTCCCAATTAAAAATAAAATTTAACTCAAGCAGTTTTTACAGATTTTTTTTTCTAAAATGGCCTACTTTTGTTACTTTGTGGCATCAAGCAACTTAATAATGAAATAGGCCATTATACTCGCATCTAAAATAAATACCTTTGTAGTGGTTAAGGTGATGGACTCCCACATGGCTGACTGTGATTCAAGTCCCAGGCCTGGGGACTAGAAGCTCACACCAAGTGTGTGTGCTATGTGTCCAAAATCCCAAGAGGAGAAGGGACAGTGAGGCCATCTCCCATGGGGGGTGATTTCTCACTTTCTCTCTCTCTCTGGCAAGCACACATGCCCTAGAGCAAAAATCTCTCTAAAAAAATAAATAAATACCTTAATAGAATTTCCAGTGTGTAGAAGCTTCTTTAAAGTTGAGCCTGCAAATTTAAAACAATGACTTAGAATCTATGAATGCATATTTAAGATATATGTTTAAAAGATCAGTTGTAGAACGTGAAATGTACTTATGACAAAAAGTATACATTTTTTAGAAAATACAAGGTTGCCCAGATTTCCATATTGGATTATGTATAAACATCTCCATTCCTATAAAATGAATGAGGTTTTGTTTTCATCTCCAAAGGTAAAAATAATAGAACTGCCCACACAACACTCTTACAAGAACATTTTGCAAATATTCAGGACAGAATGTTTCTCTCCTGGCAACAACAACCACATTTATGGGGCCCAGTCCACTGATAAATCCTGTAGAATAGCACTCCGGTCACTGTCAAGGAGATAGAGTCTAGATCGACTCAGAACTGCGCCAGTCAACGGAAAAACTTCCACTGCAGCCGCTGCAATGAGAGTAACCTCCCTCAGGAGGATGGAGACACGGGACCGAGGATTCCACAAATGCTTTCCTGCCTTCAGGTACAAGACAGCCTGACAGTTCCAGCTAATATCATACTGAGCCTTTCAAATAGGATCTCAATCTCAAAATCGGAGGGAATCTTTGAAAACGGATGTGTATTGGAAGTCTTAGGCAATCAAGTTACATATCTCTGAAGAAGAAATTACTTCAACCCCTGATGAAAAGTTAAGTGCCATATTAAAAATTAGATATCAAATCATATTTATTCTCCCCATATATTTCAAAGACAAGTTCCACCAAGAAACAGAGCTAGTGTCTCAACAACTGATGCAAGCCATATCTGTGTGGATAGATATATGTGTGAGAGTTAAATGCATAACCTTTAGAAATTCATTACCCAGAACCCCAAGTCAGTAGCAATCAGAAAGAACCTTTTATAATAGTGCTAGTATCTATTAATAATGCCTGATACTGGGTCTCAGCAGTAACTTGTTGTGACTCAGACTATGTTGTGGCAGCTAAATCTCTAACAGGTTTTGATTGAAGACAGTTAAAATGCCTTCCTTCCCCACATTTTTCCCTTCAGCAAACCATCACCCTAACTTTGGTCTAGAGCCAGCATCCACTAAGCTGGGCTCCTTGTCAGAGCTAAGTCTATGCATGGGACTTTTCTACCCCACTCTTTTCCTCAATCTGGAACCTTGTTCCCTAACTTTGGTCTAGAGCCAGCATCCACTAAGCTGGGCTCCTTGTCAGAGCTAAGTCTATGCATGGGACTTTTCTACCCCACTCTTTTCCATCCCTTGTTCCATCCCTCCTGTATCCACCATTGTTGGACAAAGTCTGTTCTGTTTCACTTTAATATCTGCTTCATCACACCGTATGAGGACCTTGTGATGGTTGGCAGGGCCAAAAGACACTTAACCTCCCAGGAGACTAGAGGGGAAGTCTGCACAGACAGTCCTCTCCCCAGACATCCAGCTAAGCCATCGTCCTGCACACATTCTCGGAAATGTTCGGTCCTGGTCATCGTTTGTTACTGTGGGATGGGTCCGGTTTTTGTTTTTGAAAGCTATGTGGCTACCCATAGATACCTATATCCATTCTTCCGTACACAGAAAGAAGAAGAAAAAAAAAAAACCACACACACATATTAAAAAGACAGCCTTTACAAAGAGGCATATAAAATGTGCAAATTGTACTGGTCAATAATCCTCAACTGTTTGAATCAATCTAGTAATTTGTTACAGCAGTGATAGAAAACTAACACATACATATGAGAGGGCTTTAAAAAGTTGACAGCAAATGTATATTATGAAAAAACTATGCATGCACTTCCAAAAGTTTTTGCACCAAACAACTGGCGCCATTTTCCCAACAGCATGCGTTCACTTTTGGTGATTCTCATAGAATTTGAAACTTCATTATTACTAGGTTGATGAGAAAGTCTTGACGTAATTTTTCCTATGTTTTTCTATGCAAAAATGTGTCATGACTTTCCCATGATTCAACATTATATCTGTTATGGGGATCAATGATGAGTGAGCTTTGACGTTCCTCCTATTATTGTTTTGGAGAGTCACAAACAACACCCACATAAGATAGAAAACTTAATCAGTAAGTGTTGTGGGTTCTACTGCTGTGTCCCTATGCTGGGGCCTCCCTGTCCCCTGAGACACAACGATATTGAAATTAGGTCAAGTGGGGTCAGCAGGTGGTGTACTGGTTATGGCACTAGATTCCCACATGGTTGACCGTGGCTTGAGTCCTGGATTTAGTGGCTTGAAACTCACACCAGGCTCATGTGTACGCATGTCCAAAATCCCAGGAGGGTAATGGAGAAGAGACTACAGTGTGGCCATGTTCCCTAGGGGGTGATTTCTTGCCTTCTATCTCACTGTTTCTGTCTCTTTCTGGTAAGTACATGTGCCCTGTGGCAAAAACCTTAAAAAGAAATGTTCATGTGAAAGGAAGAGTCACATCTCTTACTTGGAAATCAACAGCTAGGAATGACTCAGCTTGGTGAGGAAGGCACATCAAAAGCTAAGACAGGCCAAAAGCTAGGCCTCCTTCACCAGTTTGCCAAGTTGTGAGTGGAAAGAAAAATTTCTTGATGAAAACTAAAAGTGCTACTCCAGTGAACACATGAATGATGAAAAGTAAAATACCTTAATGTTAACATAGAGGAAGTTTTAGCGGTCACACCAGCTGCAACATTCCCCCAAGCCAGAGTCTAGGCCAGAAGATTAGTCCATCACACTCTTCAGTTCTGTGAAGGTTAAAAGAGGTGAGGAATGTGCAGAAGAAAAGTGTGAAGCTAGCAAGAGTAGGTTCATGAGGTTTAAGGAAAGAATTCATCTCTACAACACATAAATGTGTAAGGTGAGGCTACGAGTGCTGATGCGGAAGCTGCAGCTCACTAAGATCATCCATGAAGGAGGCTACAGTAAATAGCAGGTTTTCAATGTAGACAATACAGCCATAGATTGAAAAACCAGTATCATCTAAGACTTCTATAGTTAGAAATCAATGCCTAGTTTAAAGCTTCAAAGGACAGGCTAACCAGGGTCAGCAGCTGGTGTAGTGGTTATGTTGCTGGTCTCCCACATGGTCGACCACAGTTCGAGTCCCGGACCTGGTGGCTTGAAACTCACACCAGGCACGTGCATGCACACCCAAGATTCCAGGAGAATAATGGAGGACAAGGGACTGTGGCATGGCCATACCCCCAGGGGATGATTTCTCACTTTCCCTCTCACTATCTCTCTCTCTCTCTCTCTGGCGAGAGCACATGCTCTATGGCAAAAATCTTTTTATTAAAAAAAGAAAGGACAGGCTGACTCTCTCGTTAGGAACAAATGCAGTTGGTGACTTTAAATTGAGCTGATGCTCATTTGCCATTCTGAAAATCTGAGGTCCCTTAAGAATTACGCTAAATCTATTTTGCCTATGCTCTATAAATGGAACAACAAAGCCTGGAGGAAAAAACATGTTTGCAGCATGAGACCTACTGCTCAGAAAAAAAAAAAAAAAAAAAAACCAAACCCACACACACACACACAAAAACAGTCCTTTCAAAATATTATTGCTCACTAGCAATGTACCTGGTTACACAAGAGCTCTGATGGAGATGTACAAGGAGATTTCAGGTCTGCTAACATAACATCCAATCTCCAGCTCATGGATCAAGGAGTCATTTCAACTTTCAAGTCTTATTACTTAAAAAATACATACCAAAAAGTATAGCTGCCATTCACAGTGATTCCTGTGATAAAGCTAAACAAAGTAAATTGAAAACCTTCTAGAGAATATCCTCCTTTATATAAGCTATTAAGAATAAATGTGGGGCCAGCAGATGGTGTGATGGTTAAGGTGGCTGCATTCCATGGCTGTAAGTGGCCTGAGTCCCAGACCTAGTGGCTTGAAAATCACAGTAGGCACGTGGTGCATGCATGCCCAAGATCCCAAGAGGACAAGGGATTTTGGTTTGGCCACCTTCTCACTCCCTCCGTTTGTCTGTCTTTCGCCTCTCTAGCAAGCACACATGCCCTATGGCAAAAACCTTAAAAAAAAAAAAAAAAAAGAAAGAAAAAGGTGATCCAACAAGTATCAACATTAACAGGAATTTGGAAGAAGTCAATTCCAACCCTCATGGATGACTTTGAGGAGTTCAAGGCTTGAGTGGAGAGAGTGACTGCAGATGTAGTGGAAACAGTGAGAGAGAAGACGTGACTAAATTGCTGCAATGTCATGATAAAACTTTAATGAAGAGCTGCTTTTTATAGATGAGCAAAGAAAGTTCTTTCTTTTATTTTTAATTGCCAGAGGGATGTGCACTCACCAGAGAGAATGCAAGAGAGAGAGAGAGAGCACAATGGAAAAAACATTCCTAAATAGGGTACGGTATACCTCAATCCCTTCTCTGGGACCCTGGGCACATATACACACATGCCCAGTGTGCTTTTCAATTCACCAGGGCCAGGATTCAAAATGTGATCAGCTATGTAAGATCCAGCTCCATTAACTACTAGACCCTGGGACCAACCCAAGAAAGTGGTTTCTTGAGAGGGAATCTACTCTAGTTGAAGCTGCTATGAACATTGTTGAAATGACAACAAAAATTTTTGAGTATTATATAAATTTAGTCAATAAAGTAGCAACAGGGTTTGAGAGCAGAGAACTGACTTCAATTTTTAAAGTTTTACTGTGGGTAAAATGCTATAAAATAGCACTGCACACTGAAGAGAAATTTTTCTCTATAAAAAGACTCAATTAAAGTAGCAAATTTCATTGTTGTCTTATTTTAAGAAACTGCCACAGCTACCCCAACCTTTAGCAACCACCACCTTGGTCAGCAGTCATCAACATCAAGGCAAGACTCTCCACCGGCAAAAAGATTATGACTCACAGAAGGCTCAGATGATCCCAGTATTTTTGAGCAATAAAGTATTTTTTAATTAAGATATATACATTGTTTTTTTAGACAGTGCAATAACACTCTTAATAGACCACAATTTAGTGTAAATATTAGGTCATCGGCAAAGTCATGATGTATATTTCTATGCAAAAATGTTTCATGACTTTCCCGATGATCTAATCTATCTCTTTTCCAATTTATTTACATTCATTCACTGTACATCATTCCAGTGTACAAAATGAGATTTTCCATCCAGAATACACTGTATATTTTCTCAGTCAAGAATATTACTATACATGTTATCATCAACAAATAATTTTGAATTTCTTGTTTCTTATATATTTTGCTTCTCTCCCCTGCCCCGATTCCCTATCTCTCACCTCTGCCATTTCCCACCTTTTTCGCACACTGTCTTTGGTTTCTACAGTTGCTTTCCATGCCCCCCTTTTTAATCACAGTTTATTGATTCACTAGAGATTTTAATTAATCTAAATACTTCCAAAAGCAAGTGCATCTGATACATACACATCCATGAACAAATGCTGACTTTAGGCATAAACCGTAGTGAGTTGAGGGGCCAGCAAGTGGCGTGGTGGTTAAGGGTGCTAGACTCCTATGTGGCCGACTGTGCTTCGAGTCCCGGGCCTGGTGGCTTGCTTACTCACTTTCTCTCTCTCTTTCTCAATCTGTTCCTCTATGGTCAAATTAAAATAAATAAAGTTAAATTAAAATCATTCTTTAAAAAAAAAAACCTTAGTGAGTAGAATGAATACACTAGAAAGTACACATAGTATGTGCCTAGGCTGTATAGCTTACTGCAGTCATTAAATAGCTATTTTTAATGCATTTTTTTTATTTCAAGAAAAACAATCTTAGTTTTGATAGATCAAAATCAAAAAATGTTAAGAGAAATTTGCTTAAGACTTAAAGCCAGGAGAAAGATTAGGATTCAGTTCAAACAGCAGGTAGATGAACCTGTCTACAGTTTAAGAAAAGACAAAAATCCTTAAATTTGGACAACAAAGCACAGAAAAAAATCAGTAATGTTTTAGTCAAAAGTCGTAAAAATTCTATTTCACCAGTTCAGTCTCCTGAAATTAATCTCTCTTCTACTGAATTTACAGTGTTATTGTGGTCTGATCTGTCTGTTTAAATTCTGGAAGTTAACTTTCAAAGTTATTATTGATCTTTCTGGACTTGTCCCTACCATTAAGTTGGCCATTCTCCTGTATTTTTATATTTTTATTCTGACTTTAGTGTTTCTGGTATAGCACTCCCTTCAGCACTTCTTGGAGAGCTGGTCTGGTGTTGGTAAATTCTTTCAGGTTTTGTTTATCTGAGAATGCCTTTGTTTTTCTTCTCATATGAAGGATAATCTTGCTGGGTACAGTATTTTTGGTTGAAATTGTCACTTAATACTTTGAATATATTTTCCCATTCTTCCCTTACTTGCATTGTTTTCGACAAGAGGTTCAACATTAGCCTTATGGGATATCCTTTGAAAGTAACTTGACGTTTCTCTCTTGCCAATTTTAGTATCTTGTTTCTGTCTGTGATTTTGGTCAATATGGCTACGATGTGCCTTGGAAAAGATCTTTTTGGGTTAATTCTATGTGGAGTCCTTTGTATTTCTTGGGTCTGGATATTAGAATGCCTTTTTAGGTTTGGAAAGTTTTCTTCCAGGATTTCACGGAATAGATTATCAATATCATTATTTTCTTCACCTCTGAGATATCAATTATCTGGATTTTGGGCATTTAACAGTATATAGTATTACCTGAATATTATTCTCATTTTTCTGGGTTATTTTCTGTCTTTTTGGTGAATTTTTCTAGGTCAGAGGTTCTATATTCTACATCTGAGATTCGATCTTCTGTATGATTTAATCTGCTTTTAATACTTTCAAGAGAGGGTTTGATTTTCTGTATTACAACCTTCATCTCTAACAATTCTATTTGATTCTTTTTTATGGTGCGTATTTCCTCTTTCAGCTCGAGCAAGAACTTCCTCAAACATGTTGTCTCTTTTTTCCTGCATCTTCTAGAGTTTATTGTCTCTATTCTCTTGCATCTCTTTTAGCTTTGTCACTATGAATATTCTAAATTCTTTATCTGACATTTCCTTGTATTGTTTGTGGAGAATGAGGAGTTATTCTTTTCCCTTGGGGGAAAGAGATTTTCTTGGCTTCTCATATTTCTTGTGCCTCTGCAGTGGTTTCTGGTCATCTGATAGATTATATGTTTTTTCCTCATTTTTGGAGTTAAATCTGAGCATTCACAGGCATGCAGGAGGAGGTGATCTGCAAACTCTAAGCAGTATCGTTCTTCTCCCTTTGTGCGGCAGATTCCATGGAACATGAGGATCACTCTGACCCTGGCTAGATCTAGGGGGCAGAAGAGTGAAGTCTGGGCAAAAATCCTTCAGATGTCCTAGTCCCTGAAACAGGCTGCTCAGAACTCAAATGTATATGGCTGGTGATTGGCTTGTCCTAGCTAGATCTAGGGGGGCAGGAGGGTTAAGTCTGGTCAGAAAACTTTCAGATGTCCTAGTCCCCAATATATCTTCTATATGCACTAGGAAAGCAAAAAATTTGGGTGACTTTATTGCAATATTAACTTACTGTGGTGGTCTGGAACCGAATCTGCAATATCTCTGAATTATGTCTTTATTTGAAAGATTTAAAGATAAAGGCATTATATTAAAGTAAGGATTTATTCAGTCAGTTCAACAGATGTACACGTTATATATACTTTACTTTCTTTACAGTTATAATATATAAATAATTCAGCTTCTATAAGACTAAGTTATGATTTTCACATAAAGAATTCTAAGCTAAATTTAGGATTCTAAATTCTAAAATATCCATTGATCAGGCCATATTGTTTCAGTTTGGTCTCTGCACCAACCAATCTCCCACCCAGAGAGCCTTTCCACATTAGACCTGTGTGGGACTGTCTTTTAGGGTTCAGACCAAAGTACCTCCCTTGAAGCCTTCCTCAATTCCTCTGAATAGAAGTATTCAGACTTTTTTTCTTTACTACCATCACATGTCCTCTTTCACAGTGACAATTACACTGCAATTATTTTTTCCCTCTATTACCCCACTAAGGCAACAGGCCTATACAATATAAGGATGGTGAGATAGTTTTTGTTTCCGTCTCACACACATGTCTCTCCCTCAAAAAAAAAATTGAAATGAATGAATGATCACAAAGATTCCATTATATGATCATATTCTCCTCAAATATGATCATCTCGGAAGGAAGAAAAGTTAGAGTAAGTGCCAGACCTCTGGCAGGAGGACTGAGGCAGACACTCTTTAAAACAGAAGGCAGAGTTCACCATCGGTGTCACAGTAGTGCTCCAGCTGTGCTGTGCACATTAAACTGAGATGAAATGTTAGATGTTAAGGGCGGGACACCAAAAAAAGACATGGGAACCCGTTTCCTCTTGCGGCCACATCCTAAAGCACTCAAACAGAGGAATTTTGAGTCGATGGACAAGATATTTATTCTTGTAAGAAAAATGCAAAATTAATGTTTCTCAAACTTTATATACATGGGAATTTCCTGGGACTCTTAAAAACACAGACTAGTGGGACCAGCGGTTAGCATAATGGCTATGTCGCTGGACTCCCATGTAGTCGACTGTGGTTCAAGTCCCAAACCCGGTGGCTTAAACTCATGCTGGGCGCGTGTGCATACAAGATCCCGAGAAGAAAATGGAGGAGAAAGGATTGTGGCGTGGCCATACCCCCTGGGGGGTGATTTCTCACTTTTTGTCTCTCTGTCTCTCTCTGTCTCTCTGGCATGTGCAAGCGCCTATAGCAAAAACCTCTCCAAAAAAAGAAGAAAAATACAGACTAGTGTGATTCAGCAGGTCGGGCTGGGGCCTGAGAGCCTGTGCTTCCAACAAGCTCCTGAGTGAGGCTAACGCTGCTGCTCAATGACCCACACTATAAGTAGCACTTCCAGTGCAAGAGGTACTTCTGTTCAAAGTCCAGGTTCCACTCCTCTTGGTTTTAATCACCATACGCTTGCTCTAACCCATCCTTTTTCCTTTTTTTAAAGGTTTTTGCCAGAGGGCACATGCACTCACTGGAGAAAGACAGAGAAATCGTCAACCAGGGAGATGGCCACAGTGCAATCCCTTTCTCCTCCATTCTCTTCTCAGGATTTTGGGCACATACACGCATATGCCCAGCATGATTTTCAAGCTGCCAGGTGCAGGACTCAAACCACGGTCAGCCATATGGGAATTCAGTGCCTTAACCACCACGCTGCCTGTTGGCCCAACTCTAAGTTATCTTGATGGTGTTGATTATACAAAGCATTACTGAAAATTCAACCAGAGAATATTCATATTACTAAAAAAGTATTTTTAAATGTCCTTACCTATACTCTGGTAATGCCATCGAAAGAAAATTCGTTCAGGTAGAAACTGCAGTATTTTCTAAAAAAAGAAAAAACAAAACAAGAATAATAAGATACAAAAACAACAACAAAAGAAATGACATATTTTCAGGCCCCCATTACTTGCTAAATATAAGTTTCAGAAAAGAAAAGAAAAAACTGCTTTTTGATAGTGTATCGTATGTACTCCTGTGGGAGAGTTTCTTTCACTTGCCGCAGGTGACCTTCCTTCTCTGAATATTTTAAAAAGATGATTGCGAGGTGATACCTTACTGCGATTTTAATTTGCATTGCCCTGATGATTAGTAATGTTGAGCACTTTTTTTATAAACTTGTTGGTCACGTGTATGTCTTCTCCTGAGTAATGCCTATTCAAGTCAGCTTGTGATCTTTTAAGTCCGAATCTACAACAGGTACGACATCTTACGTAACCATGTGATGACGTGGACATACACTCCAACACAACCACTTGTCCCAAATCTCATTCAGTAAAAAACACTTCGTCCAGGATTCACATCTGAAGCACAGTAAAGAAATATGAGCAATATACTTAGTCCAGACTTCCTACAGTTTCATGCTTAGTGGCCAAGACAGACCATACAAAAAATAATAACATTCAGAGAAAAGAAAAAAGAAGAAAAAAGCCTTGGCCTAAGTTTGCATGATGATACCCTTGCATTTTATATCTTGGGATGCTACCAAGGTAAGGGGAAAAGTGCCTCATCTCAGAGGCGTGTTCAGAGAGGCTTACATATGTGAACCCAGAGCCTTGCCACGTGGGTCAGTCTCTCTGGGCATTGTGTTACCGTGGTGCCACTGTCCGGCCTCCCACAGAATACCTTAATGAAAACCCATGTAAGTGTGTCCTACCCACAGAACAGAATCTTGGGTATCCCCACAAACTGTGGAACATGACATGGAAGGGAGCAAGAACCCATGGAGCTGCTATGGCCCACAGGAAACATCACAAAGAGGCTAGAACGAGAAACCCAACACTGACACTGAGGACACGGACAAGGGTCCCAACAGTTAGGCTGCGGCCAGGCTAAATAAGCCACTCAAGAACTGCAAACGAGCCATGGCAATCAGGGTATGGGCTGAGGGTTTCCAGACCCAAGAGACAGAGATGGCCACCATTTGCACTTAAGTTTTATGATTCTTTAATTAAAACATTTTCTTCACTGAAAAATTTACTCCAGAGCCTAGTTTAGTACCTTTGATAACAAATTAATAATAATGGTTGCCACTGAGTTCTTCAGGAAACAGATGCTGCCATAGAATTAAGAGTGCAAATGTTGGCTCTGGCCAGTGGTGTGGTTGGTTTGGGTGGATGGATCCCACATGGCCAACTATGCAGTTCGAGTCCCAGACCTAGCGACTTGAAAAACATGCCAGGTATGTGTATATACATGCCCCAAATCCCAAAAGGAGAATGGAGGAGAAGGCATTGTGGCATTCCAAGAAAATGGAGGAGAAAGGGATGTGGCATGGCCATGTCCTCCATGGGGAGGTGCCTTTTCATGTTCTCTCTCTCTCTTTCTCTGTCTCTCTCCGGTGAGTGCACACACCCCCTAGCAAAGATTAAAAAATTAGTTTGGGACCAGCAGTTGGTGTAATAGCTATGTTGCTGGACTCCCATGTAGTCAACAGCAGTTGGAGTCCCGGACTTGGTGACTTAAATTCATGCCGGGCGCATGTGTGTGCGTGCCCAAGAACCTGAGAGGAAAATGGAGGAGAAAGGATTGCGGCATGACCACTCTCCCTGGAGAGTGATTTCTTGCTTTCTATCTCTGTGTCCTTCTGGTGAGTGCACGTGCACTAAAGCAAAAACCTCTCAATAAATAAATAAATAAATAAAAATTAATTAACAAAGATAAAGAGTGCAAATGTTTTTTGTGAAAGAGACAGGTTCGGGGTTTGGAGAGGTAAGCCTTGGACCACAGAGCAGAGCTGGCAAATCTCTGCAGCCGAGCAGGACGCTCTGGTGTGAAGATGAGGAGTCCTGCATGACCAGAAATGGCAAGGATTTTACACAACTGCCTCACTCAGTCACAGGCGGGGGGCCCTGAAGAGGAGTGCCAGCAAGGCTGGAAGGTTGCAAGCGCTAACAGTTAGAGGCCAGTTGGCAGGACCCCTCCTCGCAGGGGGGCAGCAAGCTCTTTCTCAAAGGGTAATCTAGGCCACACATCGTTGTGCCACAGCAGTCCTGAAGTGATGAGAGCATTCCTGTATTATTGAAAAGCCGAAGCCCTACTTTAGGGACATGGCCTAGCTGCTGGCACTGTTTCCCATCAGCTGGCTGCCACCTCGCAGAGACGGAAACCCCGTCCCGCGGAGTCCTTCCGCACTTTCCTGCCTCTTTCCACAACTTCACTCCACCTGAACAAACAGCGTAGCAGAGACTGGGTGTCCTACTTTCTCACGCTCTCCTTCTAGGGAGCATGGCACCCCAGTGCCACTCCAAGCTCATCTTCTGATTCCTTCTTGGCACTTAATTTAAAAACGTCCCACAGAAGATGCTGAGAAAATAAAAAATTCAGTAGAGATCTGAGCTTGGGTTAGATGAGTACTTGGCATGCCTGCTGTTCTTCAGATCTTTTATTTAGTCAGAACACCAAGTTGGCACTGAATCATGCACTTCGGTTTCCCACAATACATACTGGTCTGTTTGATTTAATTATCTCTTGCTATTATGCAACAAAAAAGAGCACTTTTTTTTTTTTTGAGAGGTTTTTTTGCTATAGGGCACATGCGCTCGCCAGACAGACAGAGAGAGACAGAGATAGGAAGCGAGAAGTCACCCCCCGGGGGGACGGCCACACCGCAATCCCTTCTCCTCTCGGGATCTTGGGCACGCATGCACACACGCCCGGTCTGAGTTTAAAGCCACCAGGTCCAGGACGCAAACTGCGGTCAACTACATGGGAGTCCAGCGACATAGTCATTACGCTAACTGCTAGTCCCAGAAGGGCACTTTTTAAATATCAAGATAAACAGAGAGGGAACAAGCAGATGGCATAATGGTTACATTGCTGGACTCCCACGTAATGGACCACTGTTTGAATCCCAGAACCAGAGGCTTAAAATTCATGCTAGGCGCATGTGAGCGTGTGCCCAAAATCCCAAGAGGAGAATAGAGGAGAAGGAACTGCGGTGTGGCCATCCTCCCTGGCAGATGATTTCTTGCTTTCTGTCTCGCTGTCTCTCTCTGTCACTCTGGCAAGCACACATGCTCTACAGCAAACATCTCTCTTGAAAAAAAAAAAAAAAGATAAACAGAGAGGGCCAGCCCCATGGCCTAGAGGTTAAGGGAGCTGGGTCCCACACAGCCATCTACGTTTCGAATCCCAGCCTAGCAGCTTGATAAACAGACTGGACACATGTGCATGCATGCCCCACATCCCAACAGACTAAACAAATGAAAAAGGAACTGCAACGTGACCTTGTCCAGTGGGGAGGTGCCTTCTCTCTCCCTCTCCTAGCACCCATCTCTTTTTCTTTCTGGTATGCTCGCATGTCCTCCGACAAAAAAAAAAAAACAGAAACAGAAAAACAGAGAACGCAGCAAGATGAAGTGTATATAGGTGCCTGGACACTGTCCGCCTGAAAAGCAGTCTCCACTTACTCTGTGATCAGGCCCACCATCATCGGCAGCACTTCTAGATAAAAGCCATCAGGTTTGCAAGATGGATGGACTTTAAAGACACTCAAGAACAAACTCAGTAAGGTTTGGATAGAAAATGCCATGCCAAATATCTCTGTGACTAAGAACATTCCCGAATGGATGGGATCTTTTGCAAGAATTCAAAGGCTGAAATGTTACCCACCCTGATGTTTTTGTACTCAAATACTGCTAGGGCTATCTTTTATGCATTAAGGTCTACAAGGTCAATAAAAATAGAGCCCAGCACAACAGTCTGTGTCTAAATGCCAAGCCTGTTCCTCAGAAACTCCCAGACGAAGCTACCTTTCCAAGGAAAATGCAATCTGGCATTTCTTCTACTGCAGTCGGCACTCTAAGCTACACTGCTGTGCATGCCACATAAGCTATTGACATTTTGTTTGTGGTTTCACTGGAGGGTAAAAAAAAAAAATTCAAGAAAGCCACACAGTGTGAATAAATATTACTTTTTCTGAAAAACACATGGGTCTATCTAATGCTCTGTGCTCAGCTGCATCTATATGGTAATCCATTATAGCACACTCGACATCGAAATTAGGTATTACTACCGATCAGCACATCGGGGAATCTGTCATTCTTTTAACTGATTATCCATAGCTCTTTTTTCTTCAAAAATCTACTGCATGACCAGGAATAATGTGAAATGTAAGCTGGAGTTTATACAATATGCCATAGTGTACTTTAAAACTGCTAGTCTTGGTTTAATTGGTGTAGAAAACATTTTTCCCCAAAAATGATTACCAGATGATTGCAATGTATCCCAGTGGATTCACACTTGATTTCAATTCTACCTAGAAAAGTGGGACAGTGAAGAATGAGGAAAATATAACGTACTAACTCATGTAAGGTAACCTGCTAAAATGACAACCAGCTAAACCTGTTATGTCCCAAAGCAGAGTGAGTGGGGGGTATCCTTCCCCAAACTAGCCACAAGACACCACCTTTGGGGGAAGGAAACACTGACCAGGGAGAAAACAGAAAGTCTGGTTTAAAATGACAGAGGTCTTAGTTTCTGGACATTTTGAGTATTAAATGTCCAGAAAACATACGATGGGACTGGACAATACAGCTGACGGAGCATATCGTTTGTGCCTGTGCTAGCGCTGCAGGCTGGCTACAGAGCGCTCACCTGCCAGCTTTCCAGTGGCATTCACACGTCCAGGCAGACCCAGAGAGGCCCAGCAGTGTTCAAACGTCCAGGCAGACCCAGAGAGAGGCCCAGCAGTGTTCACACATCCAGGCAGACCCAGAGAGGCCCAGCAGTGTTCACACGTCCAGGCATACCTAGAGAAAGGCCCAGCAGTGTTCACACATCCAGGCAGACCCAGAGAGGCCCAGCAGTGTTCACACATCCAGGC